AGTCACGAGCAGCGATAACTACAATATTTGCACAAGATGGACACACTTTTTCAATCGCGAATTTGATGTCATCAATTACATTATATCCCCTAACAGAATTGTTATTAGCAAAAGCTATCTTTTCTCCCACTAGTACAGAAAATATCAATAAAATCGTATAAATCGCGTCCAAAGTTACAACTTTGGACGCCGAATGTGTAGTGCGGTGGCAATTTCGTAATTAAATTGCCACTATTTTTTTTTTTAATTAACCGCGTCCGGAGTTTCTAATTTCGGACGCGAATAATTAAATGAGACCAAATTAATCGCGTCCGAAGTTCCTATTTCGGACGCGAATAATTTAAAGATTCCAAACTTCGCGTCCGAAGTATCCAACTTCGGACGCGAATGACTTAACGCGGGTATTATTCGCGTCCGAAATTGGGAACTTCAGACGCGATTAATGTTCTAAAATACCCCCAAAACCCAGATCAGCCCCGTTCTCCGCCCTACTAGGATCCTTTAAAGGAAGAGGTATCGTCCAAGAGAATAGATCCATCACATCCCTGTCAATCAAATTATACAATATCTCTTACAAAACTTAATTTTTATTAACAATAAAAAAAATGTTGTTTGTACTTTAATTTTATGTTTTACTCAGCAGTATAAGATCTAAATAAGTTGTTAAAAGTAAAATACTGATGACGATTTGACCTCGGCCACAATCTCACTCCCCTCTCTTACGTCTCATTAGGTAAAACTCCTATTTTCAAAAATATAAGTGCTAAAATTCTTTTTGTGTGTATATCTAAAAACATAATAAGTATTAATACAGATTATGTCCCTTGGTTTATGTCCGTGTTGATAGTGCTGAGTTATTTGTACATTATGTTCTCAATATTGTACATTATTCTTTTTTAGACAAAAATGCCCAAACATATTCTGTTATTGTTAAAGATCCATGTTTCCTCATTCTTCCTTAACGCGTAAGAATATGAGACGTACGTTTCATCCTTAATTTTCTTTTATTGCCTAAGAATCTGAGACATTGCTAGCTCCTTCATCGCATAATAATTTGAGATTTCCTCCTTCATCGCTTATCTGAGTCTCAATCTTCTAGTGATCACCCTGACCTTACTATTTAAGTCGGTCCCATCATAAAGAAGGGGTTGAAAACTTATCAGAATGCAACAATAAGTGATGATGCCATGGTTGCTGTGCAGGAATCATAACGGATTTAATTGTCATAATCTCCGGTGAATACGTATCAATCGTTTCTCTCAAATCTAAATACAATGATATATAAATATTTGTTTGTGTGTCACTTATGATTTTTATGAATAAATAGGAACACACTTATCGAGAGCATTTGGCCAAATCTCTTGACACAATTGGAATGGATGACAAATTTACCGTTACTGCAGATCATGTCGCATTTGCTTTGGGCACTCTTGGCTTGGATGCCATGATTACAAGAAAGGTAAATTGTTTTGTTTTTACATTAATTATCATTATTGCAATTTGATGATGTGTTATTTGATCCCTTGCCGCTTTAACTTGAAAGTGTTTGCTGGGGCAAGATGATTTTTCCACTTGATTACAGACCACATGTTTTGTTATCTTTATGTAATTTTCAATTCTTCAAGTTAGGAAAAGGCGAAACCAACAGTGCTCTGGTACCAACTTTGTTAGGCATATTAGCTACCATTTGAATATACAAACTTGATTTAAGAAGGCTAGTAGATCTCATGCATTAATCATAAATGCTGTATTACAGGTTGTGAACTTCACTGATTCAACTTGTCTCATGTTTTTCAGTATGCTGTTTTCATCAAAATGTTTAGGTTTTTTTTTTTTTTTTGTAAAATTTAAGGTTTGTGTCTCCTTTTCTCAGAATGATGAATTCAAATTCACATCTCCTCATTTGAATGCAAGTATCCATTAGACTTTCTAACCTTTTGTATATTTGTAAATTTTTGCTTCTTAGAATTTTCTATTTCGAAAAATATTTCTTGAAGATCATGTGGCATATGCTTTGGATGGGCCATGAATATCATTATTATTATTTCTTTTTATTGTTAATATCCACAAATTGGTATCAGAACACTATTGGTATCAGAGAATGATTTAGATGGCAAGTTCAAGTGCACTATTTTTTCGTGCAAAGAGCAATCTAACAATGCTCTGATACCAACTTTGTTAGGCCTATTAGGCCCTTTGATCATATTAGGCTTTGGCCCTTGTTGTTCTTCTAACTTAGAGTCACTTTTGGGCTCTAAATTTGTAAATTTTTGGTAAACCTAATTGAACTCCTGATTTTGAGATTTGTTCTAAATTATTGAATTTAGATGAAAAAAATGAGGCTTAGTGTAATGTCGGCCAACCATCATATAATTCCTGATATAGTGCCAACCATCATATATGTCTTCTACTAGCATATGTATTTTTTTTTTTTAATATAGTGTCAACCATCCAGTCATGATTTATTATGATGCTAATGTTTTGTGATATCTATATATGTGTTACTTCCTATTCCAGGAATATTGACTCAACTTTACAGTTGAGTTGTGAATTAGATGTTGAAGCTAGCTATTGGAGAAATAATTGAGACTGCATATCTTGAAAATGTAAAAGTTCATGCTTATTTCATTATTTGATCTTTTCTTTAACTTTAGTTATTTCATTTATTTTGATTGTTATTTCTTGCTAATGTTTTTCAGATTTTTGAGGCTGCTATCATGAGTATCATGCTTCTAAAAATTGTTGGGACTACAACTATGTGCTTTGATTCTGAAAAGATGGTATGCTTAGATCTCACTTCATTTACTGTACTGTCTTTTTATATACTTCATTACTACTTTCCAAATCCTTAGTTATCCCATTCTTTTTTGTTGTATGGAATTAGGTTTGCACTAGAGCAAAAAGAGTATAAATCAATCTTTGGCTACAACTATGATGATATGTGATAATAGTCACATAATTTTGATATGATAAATCATACAAAAAGAGTGATTGGTGAAACTGGATTATTATTCCAGAAATTTATTAGCTGCAAGTTGATTATACAAACTTGATTTAAGAAGGCTAGTAGATCTCATGCATTAATCATAAATGATTTGTTACATGTTGTAAACTTCACTTATTCAACTTATCTCATTCTTTTAGTATGCTGCTGATTTCATCAAGATGCTTAGGTTTCCAATAAAATTTAAGGTCCATATCTCTTTTTCTCAGAATGATGAATTCAAATTTACATCCCCTCACTTGAATGCATGTATCCATTAGACTTTTTGATCTTTTAATTTGTATATTTGTAAATTTTTGCTTGTTTGCCCAGATCCAACTACCCCCCGTTTTAGGGGGAGGCGGTTGGGGGCTTAGCTTGTATAAAAGCCCCCCTCTTTGTCCTAACAAGGGACATGCTATCTACAATCTACTTTCCAGACACACTTTGTACTGAAGAATCTTTGTAATAGCCAAATACTACGGCAATTAATACAATATACGGTCTCACGGCCTTTTACAACATCGTTCGTTATTTATTTGTTACTCGTTTTCTATCCGGGTTTATTGATTCGGGCATACCCCCGTATTAATTAAATCCATCATTGGTGCTCTTGTTGAGAGCTGCTGTACAAGCTTAAGCGCTCTCCCCACAATAGTTCATCCCCAGCGATGGCGTGATCGAGATCCAGCACTCGTCATACCAACAGATCCCGCGACACCCAGCTCGTCGCGAACGGGAACGGTCGCAACGGGACCCCCGCCCCCAGCATCCAACCGGCCGCCACCACCAAGTCGGGGGAGGATCTGAGGGCCCAGCTTACCAACCATCGTAGCAGTGGTGCACCACCACCACACCCTGTCGCCCCCGCTCCAACTCGCGCACTCATCCAGGAGGGGGTGGCGGTCTTAGAACAAGCCTCCACGGCGCTGGCGCGCGTCGCGGCGGGCCTTCGGGCAGAGGAACAAGCCGACCTAGGCGCCACCCGAGGGGCGCCGGCGTCACCTCCACCTCCCCCCACCCGGGGGTACAGCGGTCCAAGCACCCGGCCACCCCAGGCACCTATCACCCTAGGGGAGGTCAACTCGCCTCGACCATCGGAGAGGCGGGGAGGAGGGGACTCCTTCCGAGACCGCCAGCGTGATGGCGACGGAAGGGCACCAACCCAAACCAGGCCTGCCCTGGAGAGGTTGGGCGATCACGTGTCAGCCCGGAACAGGCTGGGTCCGAGGCCAGCCAACGGTTCCCGCGGCACCCAGCCCGTCGTGAACGGGAACGGTCTCAACGGGGCCCCCGCCCCCAGCATCCAACCGGTCGCCTCCACCAGGTCGGGGGAAGATCTGAGGACCCAGCTCACCAACCACCGTAGCAGTGGTGTACCGCCACCACCCCTGTCGCCCCCGCTCCGGCTCGCGCACTCATCCAGGAGGGGGTGGCGGTCTTTGAACAAGCCTCCACGGCACTGGCGCGCGTCGCGGCGGGCCTTCGGGCAGAGGAACAAGCCGACCTAGGCGCCACCCGAGGGGCGCCGGCGTCACCTCCACCTCCTCCCACCCGGGGGCGCAGCGGTCCAAGCACCCGGCCACCCCAGGCACCTATCACCCAAGGGGAGGTCAACTCGCCTCGACCATCGGAGAGGCGGGGAGGAAGGGACTCCCGCCGAGACCGCCAGCATGACGGCGACGGAAGGGCACCAACCCAAACCAGGCCCGCCCTGGGGAGGTTGGGCGATCGCGTGACGGCCCGGGACAGGCTAGGTCCGAGGCCAGCCAACGGGCCACCGGCGGCGGAGTCATGCTCCCGCCGGCCGCCGCGACAAGAACCGGTCACTCGGAGGTCGCCGAGCCATGGGCCCCGCGCCCAGTCACGACACGAGGCAGCCTCACGCGGGTCAGCAAGTCGGGTCCCGCGACCCCACCCGCAACGTGAGCAGGCCTCCCGGGTCGAACGATCAGGTGAAACGAATGGTAGAGCTCCGAGCTCCCATCGGGAAGAGGTCGAGCAGCTGCGTAGGAGGATGGACGAGCTCCAGAAGAAGATCGATGAGAGGGACGGGTCTCCGGAGCCCCAGGATGTGCTGGCCTCCCCATTTGCGAACACCATCATGGAGGAGCCCTTACCTCGAGATTTTCGTTTTCCCACCATCAAGGTGTACTCGGGGGCCACGGACCCGTGGGCACACCTCACCAGGTACAGGGCCGCCATGATGATCATCGGGGCTACTGACGCCATCCTATGTAGGGGGTTCTTCGCCACCCTGGACGGGCAGGCGCATGATTGGTTCGGATCCCTCCCGGTGGGGTCCATCTCCACCTTTGCGGACCTCACCCGGCAGTTCCTATCCCATTTTGCCACCAGCATACAGCGGAAGAAGCAAATTGCCGACCTGTGTGATTTGAAGCAGGGGAGCTCGGAGTCACTAGCCGAGTACCTCAGCAAATGGAAGAAAGAGGTCATGGGGGTCGCCGACTTTGATGGGAAGTCGGCCATGGTGATTTTCCGAAACAACTTGAGGTCAGGCGCTTTTCACCAGGACCTCATCAGGTACCCCCCTAGGACCTATACCGACCTGATGGACAAGGCAGCAAGGTACGCTGACGCCGAGGCTGCCGAGAAGAGGAAGAAGGAACAGGAGGAAGGAAGAGGTCAAAAAGACAAGGCGCCCCAGGAGGAGCGCAAGGCGCCGCGGCCACACCGACGTGAGTACGCCGAGGGGCCCAGGCTGAACCCCACACACTATCTCACCCCGCTGACACAACCTGTGGGTACCATCTTGGCGCACGCGGAGGACCAGGGAATCGTGGTATTCCCGAAGGAGGAGTGCATGAAGATATCGGCAAGGGGGGACCCCAACAAGTACTGCAGGTTCCACAGGCAGAAGGGGCACGATACAGACGAATGCATCCTCTTAAAGAGACAGATCGAGGAGCTCATCCAAATGGGTTACCTCGGCCAATTCATTAAGAGGCCCGACCAGGCACAAGGCCAGGCGCAGGGCCAGAAGCAAGGCAAGGTATGGAGGAAGAGGGGTGGCCAGGCGCCATCCACCTCGGCTCCCCGTAAGAGGGACCACCACGACAACAGCTCCGAGGAGGAGGAGAATACGATAGAGGACTCCCAGCCCCCGAGGAAACGTGCCATCTACGTCATCTTCGGGGGGGCCGAGGGAGGGGACTCGCCAGCCAAACGGAAGGGGTGGGCGAGAAGCTTGTACGTGGGGGAGGTCACACGAACACCCCACGAGAATAAACCAGAGAGGGAGCCCATCATGTTCACCGACGCCGACCTACCTGACGGGCCCCTCCCCCACCGGGACGCCTTGGTTGTCAAGCTGGGCATCAACAACGTGGTGGTGCACCGGGTGCTCGTGGACACGGGTAGCTCGGTCAACGTCATGTACCACGACACATTCACCCAGCTGAGACTCTCAAGAGGGCAGCTGGAGCAGGTACGAACCCCCCTATCCGGGTTCACGGGGGACTCAATCGAGACAGAGGGGTCGATCACTTTGGAAGTGGAGATAGGCACCCCACCTCACAGCAGGAGGTGGGAGGTCAAGTTCGTAGTCGTCAAAATCAACTGCGCCCACAACATCATTCTCGGCCGACCCGCCCTAGAGGACCTCAGGTGCGTGATTTCCATGGAGCACCTGTGCCTCAAATTCCCGACACCGACCGCGGTCGGGGTCGCCCGAGGGGACCAAAAGGTGAGCCGTAGTTGCTACTTGAAGGCGTGTCGCCAAATTGGTCAGAAGGACCCCCAGGTCCACACCATGACGACCATGTAAGAAGTGGATCTTGGCATTGCTATTTTAGGAGGAGGACCATTCCCCTCCCCCAATAATGTCTTAGTGAACAACAATAAGCGGATTAAAGTTTCATGGCCCGAAACACGTTGTGGGGAGGACCCTTGTTACGAAATTGGTTCTCCAAAACAAAAACAAAAAAAAATAAAAATAATAAAAAATAAAAAAAATCATGGAACAAAGGGGGAACGAGTGCTCACTCATGTCTTCCCCCCGCGGACCCTAAGGGGGCACGAGGTCCGACCTCGCGTACCAACCCCGACGGAGGATGCACCCTAAGGGGGCACGAGGTCCGACCTCGCGTACCAACCCCGACGGAGGATGCACCCTAAGGGGGCACGAGGTCCGACCTCGCGTACCAACCCCGACGGAGGATGCACCCTAAGGGGGCACGAGGGCCGACCTCGCGTACCAACCCCGACGGAGGAGCCCGGTGGCACAGTCCGAAAGGACTTGGCCCGAGCGGCTAACGCGCACCCTACGGGGTCACGAGGTCTAACCTCGCGTACAAACCCCGACGGAGGAGCCCGGTGGCTTGGTCCGACAGGACTGGGCCCAAGCGGTTAGGCGCACCCTAAGGGGGCACGAGGTCCGACCTCGCGTACCAACCCCGACGGAAGAGCCCGGTGGCACAGTCCGAAAGGATTAGGCCCAGGCGGCTAACGCGCACCCTAAGGGGGCACGAGGTCTAACCTCGCGTACAAACCCCGACGGAGCAGCCCGGTGGCTTGGTCTGACAGGACTGGGCCCAAGCGATTAGGCGCACCCTAAGGGGACACGAGGTCCGACCTCGCGTACTAACCCCGACGGAAGAGCCCGGTGGCGTAGTCCGGAAGGACTTAGCTCAAGCGGCTGACGTACCCTAAGGGGGCACGAGGCCGGACCTCGCGTACCAACCCCGACGGAGGACGCACCCTAAGGGGGCACGAGGGCCGATCTCGCGTACCAACCCCGACGGAGGAGCCCGAGTGCTTAGGCTCGAAAAAAAAATCAGGGACAGTTTGGAGGACCATGACCCTAGGCCGAGGTCGGGGTCGGCCCGACCTCGGCATGGCAGGTCGGCGCGCGAGGTCGGCCTACCCCGGGGTTGGTACGACCACGGCGCCGGAGGATGGCACGACCTCGGCAGAGGGGGACGACCGTCGCAGAGGCCGACCCCGGCGTGGCTTGAGCCTGGGAGGTCGGCCGAGGGGCCACGGAGGCGCGGCTTACAGGCCACTCCCGTGGCAGCGTCACGGCGACGCCACCGCGCCGGCGCCGTGACAGAGCGACATGGCAGAGATGCGGCGGTGCGTATGTGTCCTAGCAGATGAAGGAGTCATGTTCCGGATGGAGTTTCCATCATTATCACAAGAAGTGCACTTTGACGTCACCTATAAGGCTGGGACGCGGACATCTCGGGGTCGGCATTTTGGGGGGTCGGCCAGAGCATCTACTCTCCATCACTGATGATTACTCGCAGCTCGGAGAGTGGGGGATTGATGACGGATATATTGGGAATCGCCCCGAACCGATCTGAGGGCGCGAAGCAAGAACGGGTCCCGGGGCGGCGCCACGTACCCGCCCCGGCCGAGGCCTCGCCACGTGGCCCCCGCACAGGGCCACGTTGGAGGCTGGGCCGGCCTCTCCAGGAGGCCTGGTCTGCCTCTCCAGGAGGCCGGGCCTGCCTCTCCAGGAGGCCGGGCCTACCTCTCCAGGAGGCCGGGCCGACCTCCACATGGGCTCGACCTGGGCCCATGATGAGCTCGGCTTGGCCCCCACAGCGCGGCCCGGTCGCGAGACCGGGCGCGGTCAACCCCAGATCCAACTACCCCCCGTTTTAGGGGGAGGCGGTTGGGGGCTTAGCTTGTATAAAAGCCCCCCTCTTTGTCCTAACAAGGGACATGCTATCTACAATCTACTTTCCAGACACACTTTGTACTGAAGAATCTTTGTAATAGCCAAATACTACGGCGATTAATACAATATACGGTCTCACGGCCTTTTACAACATCGTTCGTTATTTATTTGTTACTCATTTTCTATCCGGGTTTATTGATTCGGGCATACCCCCGTATTAATTAAATCCATCAACTACCACGACAACGGTTTTATATAACCGTTGATGTTGCGCGTTCTTTATTTGTTTAAGACAACGGTTTTATTTAACTGTTTATAAAAGACAATAGTCGTATAAAATATAAACAATGATGTTAACAACAAGAGTCAAACCTATGACCTTAAACATAGCAATTAAGCTTTAACAAACTAAGCAACACAAACTCTTATATACTAAAGTGCAACATCTAGTATATAACTGAGTTGTTTCTATGTTGTCTGTGAAACCAAGACAACGATTTTATAAAATAGGTTAAGGATGCCTCTAGGAAAAATAGAACTCAAGACTTCTAACATAATCTAACATAACAAACTAAACTAAACGTACCAAGCCACACCAACACTTATGTATTTAAGCGCAACATCTAAGATATAACGAGTTTGGTTCTGTGTTGTCTCTGAGAATCAAGACAATGATTGTATAAAATATAGGTTAAGGATAAAACCCATAACCTCTAACATAACAAACAAAGCTAAACCCACCAAGCCACACCAACTCTTGTTTACTAAAGTGTTACACCTTATCTTTTACCTATAATTTGGACCTTCATTGTTTTTGTTACGAGATGAAAATAGATGTTTAGAAGATCTAGAACAAAAATAAAAATGTAATTAAATTTTTTTGTCCAAATATAATGCATAAAAATTTAACAAAGAAATAATACAATTCAAAAGTTAATTTAATAGTTCTATTTTCGTTCATATTTAAATATAAAATTATTCACCAAAATTTCAATGTCAATTCATTAAAGTTTTATTTTCAATTCATTAAATTCCATGCCATAGAACAGCCTTTTGCGGTACGGTATGGTGTTCAAAATGGTGTTGTATGGTGTGGAGGGGTTAAGGGCGGTATGTTTGAACTCTATATTAACAATTACAGAACTCTATGTTCAAATTATGAATCTACTGTATAGAAATTATGAATCTATTGTATTTAAATTATGAATCTACTGTATTTAAATTATGAATCTAGAGTAAAGATTTTATAAATCTACAGTATAGAATTTATGAATCTACAATATAAAAATCTATGAATATCGCGTTCTGTACCTATATACCCGGTACTATTTTGGGTCTAGCGACCCGGGTAATAAAGCTAATATTTTCTTACCATGTTCTATATCTACATCGCCCGGTTTATGGTGGACCCGGTCCCTATAAAACCATGAATATACTCGGCCTACAGACACCCTAGTCTAGTGGTCTCTAATCTATACCCGATCTATAAAGTGAAAATTTAAATTCCAGTGTTTGATTTACAGGAATAAAATTACTGAGAATTTCGATTCTAATGTTTAGTATAAATGAGAATTGAAAGGAAATAAGTAATGTAAAATCTAAAATACTCATTGTTATTGTCAGGCATCAATTTTAGGTTAAAAAGGAGAAATTAAGTGAAAATGAAATTTAAATTCCCTCCAATCAAATGTCTTGTTAGCGAAAAAAAATTCAATCCCCTCCCAAAAAAAAAAAAAAAAAAAAAACTCACACGACCCTCAACTCAGACATAGGGCTAAATAAAATCAAATTCTCTCCCACCCTTAGCTGGAAACTAACACAATACCCAGTTCAGAGACCTCTGCAAAAACATTTAATGAACTGAGGCACGACAAAAGTAGCGAGAAACACAGACGTCGTTTCTCCCTCCCCGGCCAGCCACCGTCGTCGCCATCTTCCCTCCCCGGCCAGCAACCGTTTTCGCATCTTCCTTCCCCAGCCAATAACCGTCGTCGTCGTCTCTCCAACATCGACCGTCGTCGCCATCGTTCCAACCTCATCCGGCGTCGCTACAGGTTAGTCCTTAATTTTTTAACCCTAATCCCTAATTTCTTAATTGTATTGTTGAATTTCCATATTTGAAAGCTATGAATGTTCTTAAACCTTAGGTTAGTTGTGGATTATTTGGTTAGTTTATGAGAGAGGAACTATGAACACGAGTTGAATTTACATATTTGAAAGCTATGCACCTACTGTATATATTTCGTATATTGTGGATTATTAGGTTAACAAAAATTTAGTGTTAGTCACTTATTAGAACCCTCTCTCTCAAACAAGTATTCCCGTTCTCAGCCTTCCCTCCCGTCAGAAGCTCCAGCCGTCGTGACAGCCATTCCCGCCACCGTCCTATTCCAGTTGTCATCGCTCTTAGTCTTCACCATCTCTGCTAAGATAAAGGTTAGTTCTATTACTCAAACCCTAATCTCTAAATTCCATTTTTGTAATATTCTTAACTTTTCTAGTTTTCTTGTTTCCGTTTTGATTTATACAATTCTGTGTCTTCAATATGTTTATGTTTGCCTTTTATCATTAGTTTTTTGCTCATCGATTTTGCGAATTGGGCCAATTCGTGCTTCATTCTTTTCCTTCATGCTTCTTTGTTTTATACACGATTTCTTTATCCTGCAGAGGTATAAGGCTCATGTACTTTGATTTATTATGCTCAAGAAAAGTTGAAACGTACAGTCCTGTTGTAGGTTAAGGAAACAAAGAGTCAATTGTTGTTTCTGATTAATCATATTGAATGTGTTGGTTACTAATTACTATATCTGTTATCTTATTTTTTTCCATGTGCATTGAACTAGATAATTTGGTGTTGCTGATGAATTCAATTTAGTATTCTATTCATATTCAAACATAATCTATTGTTTTCTACTTTCTTTTTTTATCATTATAGGGGTACATCATAAAAAACATAGCATAATTTTAGGTGAAACTTTTTCTTTTATAGTTTTTATAGATTTTCATTTTCTATGATTATTGTGCCTCATAATTTGCCAGAGTTGATTGGAATTGGTTTACCTTGATTGCCTGTTGCTTTCAATTTTTTAATGTTCTGAATGCCCCCAACCATATTTTGGTCATCATTTTTGTTAATTGTTCAAAAAGTCTTTCTATTGATTATCCTGCAAATGTCTTCAATTGTACTGATTATCCTATAGCACCATA